AAATGGAAAAAGACTAATTCAGGATAGTTTTAATATAGACAACATTATGCAAGATGCTCATTCATTCTTTCCCTCTTTTATAATATGCTTAAGTAAAAATATTGCAAATTACCTTCTCTAGATGTATATTTAAAAATGAAATCTACAAGAAACTCTGATTTCAGAAATAGACACATTGAGACCTGTTAGTATCTAAATCCAGAAACTTCACTACCCTTAGGCAAAAACATGGGGTTATTTTCAAATGATATCAAAAGCACCATTAACACAGAACTTTAATAAGTTTGTAGAAACTTTTATCACAAGTCAATTAACCTGAACAAATTACAGATTAAAAGGTACGGGCTTCTTAGAGAGCCGTCACTACACAGCAGGCCAGTTAAAGATCAACAGAGAAGCGTGGAACGATTAGTCATGCCTTGAAGAACTTCAGAACCACTCCCATTAGAGTTGTCATTGAGTGTTAGACAAAGCGTCAAGGGTTAAATACAACACAATTTCCAGTTGAGTTTAGTGAATACATAAGTTGAAACAAAATGATACAGAAACCAATTACAAGACCGAGAACAATGTTTCCAGTGCACTTCGAGAACAGTCTAGGGTGAGGAACGCCACTTCCTTTCTAGGCGTGGAGGGAGCCAAGCGAGGGACTAGCTAAGTGGCTGCACTGGGCAGGAGCACACGGTTGACATGTATCACGAAGTCACAACTGCCCAGCCGCATGTTGAGCCCTGCATAAGCGAAGAGGGAGGAGGGGGCTGCTCCACTTTACAACCTGGGGACTCGCGTCCCTGAACCAAAGTTACTGGTTATGCAAATCCAAAATGACACAGGTCTTTCCCTGAACCCCTTCGCTCTGCGACGTACCATCAACACCATCTGCCGCTTTGCTCTCCTCCTCCTCCTCCTCCTCCTCCTCTTCTTCTTCTTCGACTATCGTCTCAAAGGGAGTCATTACATCATAGAGAAGGGAGAGGAAACCATAAAACCAATCTGAACTCTCCTCGGCTAAAATATTAAGGACTTCCTCAAGAGAATCAATATTTTCATTACTGCCATCTTTGGTCAGGCCTACATAAGAATAAAGGGAGAAGGAAAGAGAAAACAGGGAGAGCAGTTAGGTGGAAAAAAAGTTGAGCTTAGGCAGAGCGATCTTAAAAGGGAGGCGCATTGTGGTCACAGATCTACAGAAAGGTAACGTAGAAAATAAAGAAATTGATTGAGAAGCATGTCTCCAAGCCAAGTCTCCACCCACCCACCAACCCATGCTCCTCCCAGCTCATCGGCAGTTTGGCCTCTTTCCCACCAGAATCTGGGTGGGAAGACTGGCAACATGTGCTATCAAACTCTGTAGACAGTGTCAGGAAGAATGAACAGAAGCGACATCGGAGAACAATCCTCCAATTGCTCAGCGATGAACATGCGCCCTGGAGTAATCTGGGGATGCCACCAGGATTACAGTCCACAGCGTCTCAGCTGGGCACCCAGACACTCAAATGTGGAATTCATGTCGAACACCTAAATTGGCAAGTGGTGTAACACTCTTCCAACTGAGTCATGGCTCTGTAAATCTGCTCAGAAGTTAAGTCCAGCTGCTGACAATCCTCTCCTCCTGCCTATGCCAGCTACAAGAGAGACATCCCTAACTCCTCTTCCCCTCGGCCGTGAGAGCAAAGACTCTTGATATCTGCGGTTTTCTAAGCCCTGCTGCCAGACAGGACCACCTGAGTAGAAGAAAACCAGATGTAAATCCTCGTGGTTTTCTCCAGTGGGGAAATGGCCAGGGGAAGATCCTGGAGATAACAAATCGGTGCACCACACACTGAACGGCCCAGCAGTTTAAGGAAGAAAAGCAGATGGCAGATACAGCAGGAAGAGTATGAGACTCAGGATCTTGGAGCCTTCCCTCTGTAACCAAAGCCTGCTCAGCCAGGCTTTATAGAGCACACGGCTTCCCCGTATAGCACAACTACCACCTGGACGGACACTGCACCAGCCCTGATAAGGGTCACCTAAGTGCTAGCTGTATGACGGAGGAGCCCGTGTGCACCCTTGGGTGAGTCTACTACAGAAATTACTCTCTGCACTGAGTACTGGGACTATTTCCTACTGGCAGTATGTGAGAAACATTCTCTTTCTTTCTTTCTTTCTTTCTTTCTTTCTTTCTTTCTTTCTTTGAGATTAAGATACAACTACATTATTTTTCCCTTCTGTTTTCCCTCCAAGCCCTCCCATTGCTGCCCCACCTCCTTGCTGTCTTTCAAATTCACTGCCTTATAATTGTCATTGCACACACATGTGCATGTAGATTTCATTAGCAAACTGAAACCCAAACCACCTGCATTTTAATCAATTTGACCTGAACAATGGGATATTCTACATCCAAGGGCAGGATCTGGACCTTTGCAAAGCGTGTCAGGAGACTTAGAATTAGTAAAATCAGTAACAGCTATTGGTCTTGACTTACTTACGCCTTTATATTAATAATTCATAAGGCAAGGAGGGGACTTAAAATGTCAAAGGAAAGCAACAGCAACACGTATGGAGACTTTCCACAGATTAGTATGGTTTAGATTTAGATTTCAAATGGCGGTGGGGGGTATGAAATCAATGCCAAGATGGTGGAAGTTTAACACATATATTTGTGTGCCTCTCTGTAATCCCAGTCCCCCTCCCTTCCTCCCTAACCTTGGTTTCCTGCCTTAATCTAACTATACTCTTAGGGACCAAGGTACCACTCCAATAGGAAGGAAAGCAGGAGCTGACTTCTTAGTGGTGCGTGTGCTCTAACTGCTCCCCCACAGAGCCTCACAACCCTGGACCAGGGTTCGTCTCTGCAGACACCTGCAAGTATCTGAGGCACAGCTGACTTCAGTTCCCTTGTGTGTGAGAAAAGGACCCACATCATCCAAACCAAGCAGAGCGAAAGTTGTTCTGGGGCAGAGAATAACCACCTCGCACTGGGTGGTGACAGGTGACAACGGGCCTGGCAGCTCATCTTTATTAAAGTCAGAAGCTAAGAACGGAGACCTGTACATAGAACAGCTTCAGTAGGTGGTCCCGCCCCCGCCCCCGATATACCTCCTGACACACAAGCCTAATGAAAGGAACAAACAGAGCTGCTCACAGCATTTTGTTGCCCTGCAAACAGCTAGTCTCAGAGTTAAAGTTAACTAACAACTTAAAGTGGTTAAAAAAAGAAAACAAAAAACACCTCAGAATATCTTAGAATCCAAACCAAGTAGATTTTCTACTTATAACTCCGTTATGGATTTTTCATTTTGGGTGGTGGTTAAGTACACAAAGTATAGTACACAATTTTGAAAGTGTAAAATCCCATGTGTAGCTACACAGTTTCTATTCCAAATGACTATCCTAACTGTACAGGTACTCACTGAGGCAGTGTAGACTTTGGGGCTATAATTCCAGTGTGTGTGTGTGTGTGTGTGCATGTATGTGTGTGTGTGTGTGTGTGTGTGTGTGTGTGTACGTGTGTGCGTTTATATGCAAATTTTTATACTATAGTTTAAAATACAAAACACACTATAGTTACCAATGCTAAAAAAAGAAAATAATACAACAGGGTTCATATGGCATTAGCCTTTAAAAGTTTCATGATTCAGAATGCATTTAAAGTAGTATCTTGGACCAAAGAGACCACTTATGGCAAGAAAATCCCTTCACCCTAACATATTACATTGTGCATGATTTTATTTCCTTCCTATGCCTAAAACTACAGTTGTCTGAGAATTTAATGTATGTACTGAAACTCTGCCTTAAATATAAAATGATGAAATTATGGCAAGAAAGCCATTAAGTCAAGAGCTATCATGAAAGCTGTAGAGTGGATGTACCACGGAAAGTAGCAAACGCTAACTCTGCTGTGCATGAAGCACACACAGCAGGGAGGGCTGAGTGTCAAGCTGCAGTACGGCAGACCATAACTAAAACTTTCATGCTATAGTTGTTTTAGAAGGCAGTGGTGTCTAACTGTGAAAGCTGCCTAACTGCTACAGCTTCTTTCTATTCGAGACCGTAAATACACAGTCCAGTTTATCTACCAGGCTGTGAAGCTCAGTGCACAGGTATTGGCAGGCCACAGCTACCGTTTTTGCTAAATGATTTTATATGAAGCTTTAGTACATATTGTTTCATACTCAGAAAAAGGAAATGGACTGCTTAAAACCAGAAATAACAGGCTACATTATACAAAATCTGCATATTCAAATCAGCACTATCCTTTCTATTAAGACACTATTTTAAAACAATGAAGAAATACCAATCTTTACTTTAAGAAATACCTGGCTGGTAATGGAATTACAAAGACAGCGAGGAACCCCTCCTCCAAAAAAAAAAAAAAAAAGGAAACATGATTAAAGACCACTAGTTCATATTTTATTAATGTAAAATGTTATAGACAAATAAGACAATAAAGACATTTACTGTCATGGTTTTATTTCAAAAATGAGCTTCTGTCAGCCTTCCGAAATACACATTTTCATCTGTGGTCCTATTACACTGAGCATGCTGCCCTAATGTGGCCTTATTATGAAGGCTAAGCAGAGCTGGCCCTAATCTGTTTCTGCATGGAGAAATATACATCATAAAGTCAGAATAAATTATACTAAATGATGCTTTTAACAAATTGTTCCTCATTTGAAAGCACATGGGGACATTATCTATGTGTCTGAACATCAAGTTCAAACTATGAAATGTTTAAATCTGAAAACACCAATGAAGCTATCATTATTAAAAATTGATGTGTAAGAACTAACTACATGCTCACTTACTTACCAAAGCGATTTGAAAAGTCAAAATGGAGGAGTGGTCATTTAGTATATCAACAAAATGAAATATTAAGTTGAAAAATAACTTCCATAAAATTTATTATACTTTTCTACATGTAATTTAATAAATCTAACATTAAGGAATATTAAAAATATTCTTTTGACTTCAGTCTCTAAGCCTTCTAACGAAAAGGAAGAAAGCAATGTGCTTACCTAACAAAACTTTGGCATCACCCACATCAAAGTCTCCATCACCGTCTGCATCATAGACTCCTAGTTTTCCTACAGCAGGAGAGAAATGATAGACACAGGGAAAAGAGGAAACAAATTTAATAATGAACCATCTCTCACTGTTGCTAGACACCATAAGTGTTACTTTTCCCCCTCCTTCTACTCCTGCAAAGCAGAACCATAAGAATACATCACCAAAACCCACAGGTGGCTCACCTACAGATTCAAGAAGTGTGTGGCTAATGGATTCTAACATACGAGTGACAGGATATTTCCCCCAAAGATTCAGGAATATTCTGATCCTATCACTTTACAATAATCCGATTATTCTCTTTAAAACATTTTACATAGAAATTGTCACATTTATAAAAAAAATCGACCCATCTCTAACAGTCAAACAATCGCATAAAATATGATGTTTCTAAGATGTAAAACATCACTGAACTATCAACAATGAATGCAACCTAAGCTTCAAATAATGATCAAATATAAACAAATCAACAGAGAGCATAAGTACTTTACGCAGTAAAGAATTAATTGTTTGATCCTTAACAACAGATTACAACAAAAAAAGCATGCATCAGCTTAAGGGGATGGGGCTGTCCCAAAAGTAAAGTATATAAAACTGGAGGCTTCCTGAAATGACAAGGGAAAAATGGATGGTCACCCACATCAAAATGTCCTGGACACTGGACATCCATTACTTAAGGGGAAAGGGGGAAAGCTTAAAAGAGAAACGGTGAGAAATGAGAACACTCAGCCTTGCTCAGCACTGATGTGCTCTGCCAACGCTTTCAGGGTGCTATCTATAAAGTTTAGCATTTCAAATGCTACTACAGTCCATACCCTAAAAAAAAAAAATACTCCAAAATCAACACGGTTTATAACTGACTATTGGACAAAGCCTATGGGAAAAAAACATAGTACACAGCAGTATTTTGAAAAGCAAAACTATAGCATTCTTATGAAAAACAGCTGGCAATAACTGTTCTTTAATTCAAAGTACATTAAAGGATTATCTAGGGATAGACAGGAATTTTGGTACAGAACAAAAATTCCCAGGACTGTGGCTCCGGTTTTGCTACACAAAAGTCTGCTCAGTACACACACAAGAAAACCATAAGATTGTGGGATGAAGACATTCTCCTTCTGCTAAGAAAATGAAAGTAACAGCTTGTAAGTCATAAAGTACTTTAATACCATTGTGAAAACAGAAAGGCACACCCTTCCTGAGAGCCTTCCAAGGGGAGCTAGTCCTGTGACTTACATTCTTGATGTAGATGTCTAAAGTAATAGAGTAAGGATGAGGTCTTAGAGACAGATGCACTACACTTAAAATGCATCTCCAGGAGCCTACCTTGAAGTACCTCTGATAAGTTATAACGGAAGTCCTTTGCTTTGGCTGCATGCATGCAAAAACACGAAGATGTTATTTATCATCAAAGGTACACACGTTACCCAGCAACACAGCACTGTAAGTAAATGGAGTCATAGTTTTTGCTTATGCCAAGCTAAAATTCTTTTCATTTATTATCTCTTTGGAGACACTTCCCTTAAGGTAGTAAGAGAGAAAGCCATCGGTGAGAGACAGAGCATATGTAAGATTTCCGTGTTATTCACTGTTCTCCTCTCCCCTAAGGAAGATGGCAGCGGTCTATGTCAGACAACACAACAGTAACAAATGTGTATTTTCCTTACTGACCCGACAATGTCCTTAAGTGCATTATTAAAGGGGGAGGCCATATTTCATAAGTGCCAAAAGTGAAAAACAAATGATGATCGGCAATGACTACTAGATAAACAGAGCGTGGTCTATTTGTATAACTGAGTATCACTCTGAACCTTACACAAATGATGCCAAGCATAGGCAGGGCAATTCAAAAGGCCACATGGATGTATGTGCTATACTCAGAGCACCCAAAATAATTCCAGAAAGTCAAAATGGTGAGGGAGGAGTGAATGTCTGGGGAAGACTGGGTAATAGACACGTTCTAAAATGATGATTGCACAAAATGATGTATATATTAAAAAATAAACTGTAGATTTTCAAATGTTTATGATATTTAGCTTATGTCATTTCTCTCCATTTTTAAAAAAGATAAAATAAGAAATGGTTCATATAAGACAAATCATTTTTAAAAACTTCAGAGTAGCTACAGAGATGGCTCAGTGTCTAAAAGTGCTTTTTTCACTTCTAAGCACCCAGATCGGGAGCTCATAACCACCCATAAATCCAGCTGCCAGGGATCCATTGCCCAACTCTGAGCTCTGTGAGTACCCACACACGGTGGACACTCAATAAGGTACATAAATAAAAACTTTAAAACTTTAGTGATTATGTGAAGAAAAGGAGAAAAGCAGAGGAAGGTGAGACACTATTAGAAATAGCCCCAGGAACTTCTTAAAGAGCCCAGAGGCGCCCCGGCTGCCCACAGGACCAGCAGCAGCTACCTGAGCCCATGCATCCATGTCCAACACACTCCGGTCTCAACAGACATGGTATGTGTCCTTGTAAACCCTTGCTAAAGGGAGGTTTTGCAAGTCCACCATTGCAGCTCTCTAACCCTAACACTGGAAGGCACGGCAGGAGATTCACTATAGGGTGCAGACCAGTCTGGGCCATGGAATGAGGTGCTATCTCAGAGCTAAGCCCACTAAAGAAAGTAGTTCATGGCCTAGAATTTTCAAAACTCTTATCAAAATTGAATGAAAAAATATAAAGTACAGAAAATAGTGAAAATTAGTCTAAAAAACTTGTTCTGATGGAAGCTTCCATATACCACAATACACAGAGAGCCTAAATAGAAATCATCAAAATTAACGCCACTACTTTCGGGCAGCCCTTTCCTTTCACTTTATCAAGAATTAATGGAAAGCAATACCAGAGATGTAATAACAAGCCGTGCAGAGTACCAAGGACTACCACTTCTCCTCTTGCAAACTCACTAGAGAGATTGAGCCTAATTCTTACCTAGAACTTCCTCATAATCCACAAGGTCAAACCACACGACGGCCACAGACGTCCAGACGCCCAGCAGTGCAATGACCATGAACCAGGTGAAGAAGGAACCTCCGGAAATCCCTCCTCGCCTCCCGTTCTTGTGTCCTCCATGCTTCGCCTCTGTGTGGAGAAAGGAAAATGTGAGGTGCCAGCACAGAAGAAGAAAACACTTGACTGAACTTCCCACTCGTTTATCTTGACAGTTATTTGACAGATCACTTTAGAAATGGGTTTTACCTAAATTCTCAAAGCCCGTTACACAAAATAATGACTTTGAACACAACAAACTTTCTACTCAAACTGAATTACCAGATTTAAATAATCTTAATTTTGAACAGAAGTAAACTCCTGATGGGCTATTGTTTTGTTTTGTTTTTTTAATATGACGGCTGAACACATACATTCCTTCCAAGTCCTTTGTCAAACAGTCCTCGTGGGAACACTTTTATGTCGAAATGGTCACATGGACCCCGCCTGTGGTAAGTAGCAGACACTGGTATGCCATAAACACTACTAAAACTTCATGTTCTTGCCTTCCTGTAACAAGGAAAATACTGGCCCCAGTTTGATATTTCTCACTGTTTCCATGCATTGTCCAAAAAATTAACTTTCCAACTAGCCACGGCCATTCAGCTTTCATTTTAACACAAGAGCCTACGTCTTTAGCAAGTCTCACGGACACTGGGACGGACATTCCGCTTTGCCTTCCACTCCTGTTGCTTTCTTTCCTGCTAGGCTCCCTAGTTCCTTAACAGTTAGTGCTGATCTTCACAGTGCCCTCTGGCTCTGCCAGCTCCTTCAGGGTTTGCTGCCTCTTCCTGGGGCTGGTGGGCGGCTATTTTCTTATGGAGCAGCCTCTTGCCAACCCCCAGTAAGGCACAGTCAACAATGCAGCTGACAGCCTTTGAAGTGCAGCGCATGCCAGCTCTCTTAATGAAATCAGAGATGCAGATGGATCCTATTTCATATCCTATTTATACAGTAGACCACCCTAACCTGTGTTAACTGCCACAGAGGAAAGTAAATCCCTCCAAAATTATTCAATATTGCGGGAAGCTGAGTAAGGGGAGAAAGCACAGAAACATAAATCACAGGCAAAAGATGCAATTCCACCTCCTCCATCAGAAGATCCAGCCGGGCGTGGGCGCGGGCAGGCAGGAAACGGGCCTGCCAACTGGCCCTAATGCAGGAAACGGTTCTGTAAACTTCTGCTCAACTGTCATTTGTCATGTGTTGTTACGCTTTGTGTGCCTTACATTCTCCGAGAAATAGTCTTCTGACGGTCAAAGCAAACAGAATTCATGAAAGCCACCGCCAGGTATAAAAGTCCATACTGTTTATGAAGTAAGCACTGTCTGCAAATTTATCTTTAGAAAGAGGATATTATATTCCACAACTACAAGTAAATACACTCAATTACCTGATACCTCCAAATGCCATGTTGGTGAGGGAAACTTTTCTGCATGCTACCAACATAGCATGACACTACCTGGCATGGTGGTTTCTTCCAACCACGCTGTCACGAGCATCACATGTGACCCTCATGGCAACCTGCCTATCTTTCTGCAGAAGGTGTTTCTAGACGCTTTAGCAGGACATTGTTTAGCAGGACATTTGTGTGGCTGTTCCTCATGTGGTAAGTCATCTGTCATGTCCCGTACCCCAGGTCCAAGGGAGGTAGATTCCCCCCCCCCCCCATATATCTCAAATATCCCTTACATGGGGCACTGCCTGCCTCAGAACCACTGAATTCTCGGGGACAGAGTCGTCATCTGGTACAGGAGAAAGAGGAAGGCATTCGTCCACATCAGCCTTGCACGTTGGGCAGAACTCAGAAAATGACCTGTGCAGTCCTAAGCTCTGTGTCTAATAAGGGCTGACCCCATGACCCCCACCTCCATGAGCTTACTCAGAACCTGCCTTCTGCCTCCACACACACTAGGAAAAGAACACGAGTGGCTTCAGGCAGTCAAGTACTTCCAATGCATTGCTCAGAAAGAAAATTGAAACTGTATGTGTTATAAAGATATTCTTTCTTTAGACGTATTTTATTTTATGTGTGAGTATTTTGTGTGCCCGTACACTGTTCATCACTTGAGCGCTTGGTCCTTGTGAAAGTCAGAAGAGGGCATCAGATCCCCTAGAACAGGAGCTGTGGACCACCGTGTGGGTGCTGAAACCAAACCCAGGTCCTCTGGGAGAGGACATTTTACTGTTGGGGACCATGGTTTCCTGTATGTTTATATGTCATAAGCAATCACACAAATCATTAAAATAATACAAAATAAGCTGTCGCTAGAATTTTTCAAAATAAGGGGCAAGATGGCTAACTTCTGTGGGCCATAGCGTACCACAAACTCAGTAGCAGGGTTTGGGATTGGCTCACTACTTTTATAAACATGAAGATATTTTCCCTACGCTATATAGGAAAAAAAATTTCTTATTTTTTTAAAGCGTTTATTTATTTATTTATTTATTTATTTATTTATTTATTATGTATACATACATGCCAGAAGAGGGCACTAGACCTCATTACAGATGGTTGTGAGCCACCATGTAGTTGCTGGGAATTCAAGTCAGGACCACTAGAAGGGCAGCCAGTGCTCTTTACCTCTGAGCCATCTCTCCAGTCCATTTTACTTTCATATAACATACAAATGCATACGTGCTGGAGAGATGGCTCCGTGACCGAGAGTGTGTACTGCTCTTAGACTCAGTTCCCAGCACCCACATCAGTGGCTTCCAGCCCCAGAGGAATCCAATGTCCCTGGCCCCCATGCGAATCTGAACTCTTGTGCATGCACCCATAATTAAAAACAAAATAAATCTTTTTAAAAAGTGAAATATATCTCAAATTATTCACTTAAAATGAATGATAAAACTACAATAGACTGAATCCTTGTCTTATCGGCTCTTGGACATGGCCATAGTCACCATCTTTTCTATTGCTCCTTGTTAACTAAAATAGCAAACTGTTAAAAATACTTTATACCTTTACAATGTCAAACAGTGTAATACTGTAGCATCATTAACCTCATTACTATTAATACTTGTTAGTTCCATAAAGGATAAAAGCACCGAGTCATAGGAGACTCTACGAGCACTTTACAGTCTTTCCTGTGAGTGTGGAGAAAACTAAGCAGAACCTAAGGACCCAGACATCTCTTAGGAGCCTTTTTCTGGAACATGCGCCACGTGCTTGGCCTGTCCCTTTGTAAGTGTGCTGTGCCTAGTCCCCAGGGGCAGATTGGGTTTCCTGCCTCAAATGAAGGAAGTGTGGTACAGCAAACCCTTCCCAAGGGTGTTAAACACCACCAACAAATTCAAATCCAGACGTTATGACAAAAATATTCTGGAAGGATGTCCAGCAAGTGATGCTATTTTCTTAGATCAAAATAAATCTAAGTCAGTCTTTATCTTGTTTTCTGGCTCCAGATCCAGAAACTGCAGTCACAAAGGAGGTTTCCTCGAGTTAAGGACATGGCAACTCATCTTCTGAAATGTAAGTGAAGCTGGCCTTCACTGTCTTCTATGCTGCCTCATCAAAATGATGCCCACATGAGAAAATGTTTCCACACAGTGGGGACAGAACATCACCATGCGGGCATCAGTCCCAACAGTCAGAAGAAAAGACTGAACCAAACAGGCTCGGGACAAAAGGCCACTGAACACTGGCTAGTGACTCACTTGCCATTAAGTAAACTACAAGTCATTCGTCGGTAACTGTTAGTGGGCATTATGCTGGGCATTCACCCTGGTACTAAACTGAGCATTTAAAGTCTTAAAACAACAGTTCCTTCTATGGAGTTTCTCTATATCTACCCGATACATATGTTTTACACTAACAAAAAGACGATCTTTGCTTATAAGGAAAAAAAGATACACACAAAAAAAGCAAATTTGACACATTAAGGAAATGAAAGCGTCAATTTAAGAAACAAAATTCTAGTGCCTTCTCTTTTGTTTGTCGTTTACCCTCTGCTTCACATGAAGTAGGTCAATTTCCATATAAGGTAAGGCTGCTCAATCCAAGCATGCTCACTAATATGAGACTTACACATCCCTTGTTTCTCATATTTTTACAAGAAATCTGAACACACAATTCTTTAGGTCCATTGTGACCGACATATCAGACTCTAGAAGCTTATAAAATGTGATTTGTGGTAGAAGAATATATTGAGAGTCTAAGTTAGGACAGCAAAACCTATTCAGGTTAAAGACAGATTACTCCATTAAAACCCAGCCACTGAAAAAAGCCGACTGTTCCAGAAATTCAGGAAAGACAATGCAGGAGGCACAAAGCATCTAGCCAAAAACGTCTGAACAGACCCCCCCCCCCCCCGAAAATAAGCAAGAATGACGTCAGCTAGTTCTAAACCCTCTTTCCATCCAAACAATAGACATATACCTTTATCCTCAGCCATTCGGATTTCTTCAACCCGTGCATAAAACACACCGAAGGGACAAAACTAAGGTGCTCCCAGGAGGTGTGGGCCACCCAGCGTGCCCTTTCCTGCGAGAACTGCACTACCAGTCCTGGCCAAGGGCTCCAGAGCTGAAACTCGACCTGACTGCTCAGCAGCTATTTTTAGAGGTCCTTTCCTCATGGCCACATGCTGCTAATCACTCAGATGGGCAGCGCTCCTGGCGACCCTGCAGCCCTTCCCACTCAGGATGGAGTCCCCTGCTTGATGTTGCTATCTCTTACAGCTCCAAGCTCCGAAAGACAACACAGCTGGACAGCGCACAGGGCAACACACTAACCACCCCACCTACAGTGTGGCTTTTTCAGACTAGGCTGCCAGGGTCTCAACTTTAACACCTAGTCATTCAGCAAGTAAAGAAGCCCACATGTGGTCCCAAGCCCAGAGCCAGCTTCCTTTGGTCCTTCAGAATTTTAATCAAAAGCCTGCAAGACTATTTAGGCAAGTTGTTTGAAGAAAGACAAATCATGCATGACAAGAAATTCTCTAGAATCCTGAGTCACAACATTATCATCCCAGGAATAACCCTTCCAACAGCAAAACTAAAGCCAAAGCACACACACACAAAAAAAATTCATTGGGAGATGAGAGAGGGCTGTGGGACACTGAAGGAAAGAAACTGGAGGGAAGGAAAGA